GATTGAGTCCTACTGAGTCCATCTGCTTTCTTGACTCAGTTGCCCTTAGTTCCTAGCACCCCAAAAGCAGGGTCCTGACAAGGGACTGAATGGACCCAGGGCAAGCTGTGAGCTACCCTAGCATTGAAATGGGCTAGGCCAAAGCACCACGATACTCAACTATAAGTTGAGCGCACGATCATGGACAAATGCTGTCATGATCCAAAAGAAAGTAATGATGAGACTCGGACCCTGCTGGGGCTAAGAAGACTAACCTGGCCTGAGGACTGTGAAGGTGAAGGTGAAGGCCCTCCCGTTGATCGTCGATTTGCTCGAGCGGGCCCAGTAACGTCTCCATTGGAGACTTTGTTGTTACTGTGTCTGGCATATCGAATACTCTCGGTAGCTTGCCGGGCTCTCCGAGAGGGGCGGAGGAATCGAACTCTGGTCGGCCATGTTGGCCGCTTGTAAGGCGAACGCCCTACCGCTGTGCTATATATATATATATATATATATATATATATATATATATATATATATATATATCTCAGAGATTCGAGTAAAAGTTGTGGATAACATTTTCCATTGCCCTTCTAGAAGACATGATAGATCCATCAGGACATTGGAGGGTAGTGATCTTGGTCTTATAGTTGGCGACGGACAGGCAGGTGTTGTAAAAAATTTTCCCAGCTTCCGCCACATCAGCCAATACTGCTGCTCTTCTCTCTTTGAGGTCTTCATTTATTGCTTCTCTGCACAGCTTTGCGAGCTTGGACATTAGCTTGTGATTGCCTGAGGCTCATGCCAAACCACGCTGGCAAATGAGCTCAAGAGTTTCCAAAGACAGGCATCTTTTTGTGGTTTTCTCTCTCGGTGTTCCTCGAACAATCGTGGAGGTGCTGAGCCAGTTGATAGTATTCTTTGTCGATGTTGTCAACGACGGCATCTTCCCACATTGCTGCAATAGTGCCAAAGAGCTTCCAGTTGGTGGTCGTTCTTGGCGTTCTCTTCTTAAACTTTACAGCCCTTTCTCCCTGCTCTGTGAAATAGAATTTAGCATGAAGGAGACGGTGGTCTGATCCCATTTGGAATTTTGTGACAACAGCGACATCAGTCAGGCAAAACCATCGACTGAATATGATGTGGTCAATAAGTATGGAAAAGTAAGTATCTAAATACAGTAAAAATCTGTTCTGTATACTCTGTTTTGTTTTGTGGCTTTGGACAACACCTGGTCCTCCTAGGGCTCCTTCCAGCGGAGCACTCAGAGGGCTACATGAGGCTGGAAATCAAACTGAGGTTCCCCATGCAATGTATTCATCTCAGTCCTTTGAACTACCCCTTGGCCCTCTATATATTCTTCCAAAAATCAAAAGTTCTTATTTTGAGAAACTATGTTCTCATTTCTTTAAGGTAAAGGCATAGCCCTGGAATTCTTAAATCACAAGGTATTAGTGTGTTTAGTTTTGTAAGAATCTTCAAGATCTTTTTAAAAATTTTTTTTTTCTTTGTGGGGTAGGTGTTGGAGCCACACTCAGCTGTGCTCAGTGCTGAGTGCTCAGTGTTTACTCCTGGCTCTGTACTCAGGAATCATTTTTGGCAGTGGGCAGGGGACCATAGCTGTGCTGTAGACTGAACCTGAGTTGTCTGTATGCAAGAGAAGTGGCCTACCAGCCGTACAATCTCTCTGGCCCCTAGATCCTATTCTAAGGAACATAACTCAATGCAAACTCCCACTAGCAATGCATAAGAGTTCGGATTGGTCCTTCTTCTTGCTAATATTTATTGCTCTTTTTAACACTCTGGCAGTAGGGCAGAATTTTATTTTAAAGGTATACTATAATTTACTTAACCAAGCCTCTAAAGTTAGGCATTACTCTTAATGTTCTCTTAAATAACACTGAAAAATACTCTCCCTTAAATACTTTCAAAGTACATCACTAATTTTTCACTAGCTAAATAAATCAGATGTTATGAATAATTGGAATTTTTCCCCATTTCACACTAAGATTAATTCCAATATCTATACTTCAATTTGCCGGAGGTTGCTATGGAGTCTTTCTGAAAATTATTTTTTATTTTACGTAACTATGAACTGCTTAAGAGATGCTCAGATGCTTGCCTTGCATGAAGCTGGCTGCAGTTTGCTTGCTGGCACTCTCAGCACTTCCAGGAGTGGCCCCTGAGCTCAGAGCCCGAGTGAATCTCCATCACAGCCATGTGGACCCCAAAACACAATAGCAGCAACAAAAGTGGCTAGTTCAAGGTAACATTATTTTTATATACGTATTTAATTACTGGCCATTGAATAAATTCCCTTACTACTTCTAGTAATCTATCAGGTTTCTTCTGTTCAAATAAAACAAAACAAAATCCAGTAACAAGACATTCTTTTGGCTTTCTTTCCAATACATATGACTCTTTTAAGAAATTTAGTTTTCCTTATTTTAATTTATTGCCTAGAACCTAGTGGTAAGAATGTGTATCTTTTCAACTTGGATCCGATTTGTTAGGATGATTCATTTTCCTGCTAAACATAAAGTGAATATTTTACCATTGATATCAAACTTTAAATCTCATTACTCTTATATATTCTTTAGATAGCTCTTAAATTTGTACTGTTATTTTCATTATCTTGACAGCTTTTAGTTTCTCAAAATATTTTGCTTGAAATACCCAATTTATCAACTCTTCAAAAGACAATGAGATTTCTTTTTAATGACAAAACCCAAGCATTCACTTCCATGCTTTAAAAAGAAAAGTTTTTTTTCAGGGGCTAGAGACTGCTGGACATTCTGAGTGATGTTGCATGCAGGAGGCGGGTGGGGTCCCCTGTACCACATGATTACCTGACACTGCTGGGAGCAGCTAAGCACCCTCTAGATACCAGAAACAAAAATGAAGAGTTTTCAGTGTGAGGCTCCCTTGGGAAACTGAAAATGAGGATGGGAGATGCGTGCTGAAAGTAGACTATAAACCGAACATGATGGCCATTGAATACCTCTATTGCAAACCACAACACCCAAAAGGAGAGAGAGAGAGCAAAAGTGAATGCCCTGCCACAGAGGCAGGGTGGGGTTGGTGGGTCGGGGTGGGGGTGGTGGGAGGGATGTTGGGACCATTGGTGGTGGAAAATGGGCACTGGTGGAGGGATGGGTACTTGACCATTGTATGACTGAAACGCAAGCATGAAAGTTTGTAAGTCTGTAACTGTACCTCATGGTGATTTACTAATAAATTTTTTTTTAAAAGTCTAAATTGAAAAAAAGAAAACTGAAACTGAAAGTACTGTATGATTCAGCAAAACCACTCTGAAGCATTTATCTGAAAGATATGAAAACAATGATTTGAAAAAATATTTTCACACATGTTCCCAACAGCACAATAGCCCAAACATGGACTCAACCTAAATGCTTGCCCATGGGTGACTGAAGAAAGCACTTGCAGTATGATACTCAGTAAAATATCAGTCTGCTATTAAAAAGATGGAATTGTGCGTTTTTTGAGAACATGGTTAAAGTTGTTGATGATGAGGTCAAGTGAAGTAAGGAGGAAATGAAAGACAATTTTGCTGGATAATTTGACTCACATGTGGAATACAGAAAAAACAAAGCCAAAGGACTTGCAAAAAATAAGAGATATAACTCTTAGGGGAGGGAATGGGGAGTACTAGAACTTTGGAGGCTGGGCCCGCAGAGAAATTCACTGTACTCCTGAAATTAATTAAAACAAAATTTTTAAATAAAATGTGTTTAAAAATAACTTTTATTTCTATTGCCTCTAAAAGAAAGCGTAAACTCCTTGCTATGTCAACAATCATTATTATGATTTTATGATCCGATCTCACCATAATAAAGTGTATTAGTCAGGCCTATTCAAAATGAAAAATGTGATGGCATCTTTATTGAATATGAACCTCTATTCCTCATTCCTCCCCAGCTATTTCCTTTATTGCCAGGTAAATTCTAATTTATTCTTCCCAACTAAGTTTAGATATCTGCTTTGAAATTCAAACAATTCCTGGCACTTACTCACTCTATTCAGAGTTATGCACCTGAACTCTACCTCTTATTGATGTGCTACTCAAACCCTGTGTTTCTACATAGTCTCTTCTGTCATCAGTCCCCAAGCGAGTGACTGTCAGGGAAGTATTTTAAAGTTTGCATGAAATAAACACTAAGTTTACAAGCAAAGACAAACAGAATGTTCCAGTCATTCACTAACCTATTTTTTGAAAAATTGTTCTCATTCCTTGTTGTTGTGATGATCAGCCTGGCCAGCAGTGGTACTCACCCGTCTAGCTGTGGTACGTGCTGAGTACCACACACCAGGCTGTGGTTCTTGCACATTTTGTCATGGTGCTCACCAAGAGTTGCATATTAATTGTGGTGATCGCAACGTTACCTTTCGGAGGAAGAGGAGTGGGTCTCACTCTTTAGCTGTGGGGCGCATACATTTTCTAGTTGCTGTGTTCACTAAGAGTGGCTAGAGCGCTCACACACCTTTGTCAACACTCAGAACATCCGGGTGTTATACCCACAACAGCAAAAAAGTGTGCACAATTACCATGCTACAAACAGAAAAGCATTTCACTTATGGCTTCTGAGCAATTAAAATGTAATTTAGGGACCAGGGAATATTCGTGTGACCAGAAGTCTATACATCCATAACATAAAGACCAAAATAATTTTGATTAAAATTTCTATAAATTTCTATAAAACTCATTGATCATCAAATAACAATTTGGTTTTATTTCAGTAGGAGAAAAATGATGTGTGTGCACTGCTTTGCTTTTTACTTTTTCTTTTTTTTCCAGAGTCCACAAACTGATTTTAATATTTCAATTATTCAGAAGTCAAAATGAATTTTACAATGATACGGAACGTGGTATATTTGGATACATTTTCTCTTTAACTCTAGATCTCAATTTCTGTCACTGTCACACTTAACCCTTCATGTTCATTTTATACAGACCGCAGCCACAACGCGGAGGGAAGTAAAGTATCAGGAACAAAACTTACTCAATTCCATGGTAATGACATACTGAAGCTTTTTCAAAAGGCAAACCCCGAAGTTTCTGGGGACTAAGTTCTGGTGTCAGGATGAAAGTCTTTTCCCTGAAAAATAAATAAACACGTAAGGGCTTCATTTATATTTAAAGTTTACTTAGTGAAATAGAGAAGTACCTAAAGCTAGAAATAGGATTTTCTACTCTGCAAATGAATCATACATGGAGTAAAAACTCTGTGTACTAGAAACTGTAAATTTCTGAAGTTAAGAGGGTTCTTCTTGTACCAAATTATTATCAGAAATAGAGAGATCAAGACAAAAGAATGACTTGTCATCAAAATTCAAGAAGCAGTCTTGTTCATGGATTTTTTTTTTTTGCTTGTTAGAGGACACTAATGTTTATGTATTTATGTCATCTCGACACCTACTTCAGGTGTCAGTAGTCCTTTAAATATCAGAGGATATAATGACTAGCTGACTTCAGTTATTCTGAAGTTGGCTTCTCTCTCTCTCTTTCTCGCACCCCCCCACCCCCACACCTTATTGGGCTACACCCGGCAATGCTCAGGGCTTACTCCTGGTTCTGCACTCAGGAATAATTCCTGGCAGTGCTGAGGGGGTTGGGGAGTGGAGGAACAGGGTCATATGGGATGTTGAGAATCAAACCCAGGTCAGCCATGTGCTAGGATTGCTATGTGCAAGGCAAATGCCCTCCCTGCTGTACTACTGCCTTGAAGTTCGTTTTCAATCAGGCATCATGTTAGAACTAAGCATATGATGAGCACACATCAAAAGCACCTATTCAATCCCTCCACACCAAGAGCTGGGGTATATCAGACTTGGGAAAAGAGAGGTTGTTCACTTGATCACCTGACATCCCATTACTCAGCAATTTGCTCGAGCGGGAGCCAGTAACGTCTCCATTTGTCCCTGTCGCGTGCTAGTATAGCCCAATGGCGTCTGCCTGTTCTTGGAACACGAACATCCTCAAACCTATCGTTAAAGGTCTTGACGAAGAAATCTGACCATCTGGTAGGTGGGTGCCAGGTCATTTGTCATGTTGACTTCTCGACCTAGGTACACATAACTGCTGCATTCAGAGATATTCATTCCATTGAGAGCAAATGGAGCGTCAGGACTGAGGCTGTTTCTCATAAACATTGTCTTCATAAGATTCAGCTGGAGTCTGGCCTTTCCACACTCACGGTCAAAGTCGACCAGCATTTTTGCTGCTTGGCTAATGTTTGGTGTTATTAGAATGATGTCATCAGCAAAGCGGAGGTGATGTAGTTGCAGACCATCTATCTTCACTCCCATTGCTTCCCATTTCAGTCATCACATGACGTTCTCAAGGGTGGTACTTAGAGTTTCAGTGAAATGGTATCACCCTGTCGAACCCCTCCGCGAGGAACAGTTCTTCTTCATTGTTGAAAACGGCCATGATGTGATTGATGCCTTCTAGTCTTGGTCAGACCAATGACGTCGTATTTGGTCTTTCACGCTTGCACCATCAGGTCCTTGATAGATGCCTCTGATGCCAGCATACGTGCACTGAAAGTAGTCATTTTTGTTCTTCGTTTTGGCAGCCTAGTTCGGCATTGAGATTTTATCGGCCTCTCCTTCCTCATCCTTCTTAACGCTGCTGTATTGGTGGCTCTTTCGGGGGAATAAAACTCACTGTATTTACTGGTTTTGGCATATCGAATATGCCACGGATAGCTTACCAGGCTCTGCTGTGCGTGTGCAAGGCAAATGCCCTTCCTGCTGTACTACTGCCCTGGCCCTGAAGTTGGTTTTCAATCAGGCAACATGTTAGAACTAAGCAAAAGATGAGCACATATCAAAAGCGCCTTTTCAATCCCTCCACACCAAGAGCTGGGGTATATCAGACTCGGGAAAAGAGAGATTAGTGCAAAAAAAGCGCATTTAAACTCTGGTTACTCTGACAGTGTCCCTCCTTCTTGACTGAGTTACAGATATTGATCAAATAATATTCTGGTTATTCATGAGCATATTCCTGCAGCTCAGAAAAAGTTAGAAGGAAATAGGAGAAAAATGCAGCAACAATCTTTACATAGCTAATAGGTCAAAGATTACCAAAATGTTGAACTCAGAGACTTCAAAAGTGTGTAGAAAATCAGGTACTGAGAATAAGTTTGCTATTACATTTTCTACTCTAGCATTATTAATTAAAACTGCCCATCAGTCACTGGAAATAAAGGGGGAGTATAATAAGCATTTAAAATTATTATATTAAAATAAGAAGATAAGTTTAAAAGTGAATGAAAAAAAAGCAGTTATATTCTAGGAAATCCACTTGAAAGTAGTCCATTACAAGTAAGGCTAATAAATTGCAATGACCCCCGCATTTTGACAACTGATTATAAACATGAATAACTTTCTATTATAGAACTCCTTAGGTAACTAGCAATCCTACCCCTTACCATGTTGTGCTCCATTTTTTATTTCAATTCCTATTTGTCAGCAACTGTATCTAATGTTGCTTCATGTTATTTATTACCTAGGGGTGCTGTAGGTTGCTCCTTGTGGCACCAGGGGAACCCATGGAGCCAGAACTGAACTCCAGGCTGCTGTACGCAGAGTGTGCGCGCCAGTCTTTGCTTAAGTTTACTTTCACTTGCCCATTCTAATGTAATATACATTTTCCCAATGTAAATATTATGTGGTATACTTAGAAGTTGTATTCTACTTTAAATGCAGCATTTCAGATGATTCTTTGTACAAGTACAGATTTAATAAGAACATGTAGGTTCTTTATTCTTGCCTTAGCTTATTCTTAAATCTTCACATTAATAAAAATAAATCGATATAAATGTAGATATAGATATATAGGGGCTTTTTGCTACACATAACTGTGCTTAGGGCTTACTCCTGGCTCTGAGCTCAGGGATCACTCCTGGCAGGCTGGGGGAACCATAGGAGTCCTGGGGACTGAACTCTATGGTCAGTTGCCCACAAGGCAAGTACTTGACCCGCTATACAGTCCCTTTTGTCCTCAACAGAAGATATTGAATATATCACTATTGAATATAGTGATGAAGTTCTTCTCCAACATCAAGGACCTATATCAAATACTCCTATATAACTCACCTGTGAACTACAGAATAAATAGATTTCTCCCATATAACTACAATTAGAAAGACATTCTGATCCCAAAAAGTATGCAAATGACATACTTCAGTTTAAGTAAATTCATCTGACTGCCAATTCATTCTTAATGATTTAAGCAATAATCCCAAATTAAATTAAAAAAAACACGTCTTCATTTTCTTGATACATACAACACACACACACATACACGCTTACACAGTTGGTATCCATCTCTCAAAGTCGTGGGAAAAGGAAAAGGAAAATTATTCTCAAATTGTACAATCTCATATCATTAACATCAAGTTAGTAAGAAACAGATTTAGTTAAGATGCTTAAGCTTTCAGATTAGCGTCAGATGTCTTTACTACAAATGCACATTAAAGCAATACACTTTATCATAATTTCAGATATAATTGACTACAAATAAATCCTTTGTAAAATTTACCTCAGGACTCAATATTTACCAAACCAAGTGCTATAGGTGATCAAAGTAAGTGATCTATAATTTTTAAAGTTTTTGGGTGGGTTGTTTCAAAAGAATGGATTAATAACTAAATATTGAGCAAATTATTCAAACTCATAAGTAGTTTATATCACAATTTTACCCATAACTAGTAAACTTGGTAAGTATTATTTATTAACTAGTAACTCAGTAGAAATTGTCTCAGAAGTCAAAACAGTTGTAAGTTATTCATGTGTAGATACTGAGATTTTACTTTGTATTACAGTCACAAAGCTTTATATGACTTAGTGGTAGAGTGCATACTTTGCACGTGTGAGGTCCAGGGTCTGATTCCCAGTATCTCTCTCTCACACACTCACACACACACACACACACAGACAACACACACACACACACACACACACACACACACAAAATCATTTTCATTACTTTCCCATTCTCTTCAGTTAATTGCCTGTGCTCTTTTGGCTACGAGTATGACTAGTAATATCATAACAAGTAGCCATAAAATCAAAACCAAAGTTCAACACAGCAAGGAATATTAAAGTAAAATATTTGCAAGTCAAATTATATTGTTTCTCTTACAAAAGTTTTCGGGCCAGAAAAATGGTTTAAGAATAAGGGCACTTGCCTTGCAAATGGCTGACCTAGTTTGATCCCCAGCACCACATCTGACGCTTCAGGCATCACCAACCGTGGCCCTTGAGCACAAAACTGGCAGTAAGCTCTGAGCACCACTATTGTAGATCCCCCAAAGGGGGTCAATGAGCAAGTATTGTCCTTTGAATGTAAAGTAAATGCTAAGGACTTCCATAATGGATAGACTGAGGTTGCTTTTATTATTCCTATTTCCCTTACAATCAGTATCATAAAACAGGAGCATATTTAGCTAAGGCAAAATGTGGGATTAAGGCCAAATACAAAATGGGATCAAACCTGCAAATTCTGCCTACATAACACAGGGCTTCCCTTAACTGGAAAAATGAGATTCCATGTTTCTGGAAAAAAAAAAAAAGACTTAAAAATTTCCTGGGAATTTTAAGTTTATTAACTCACCCCTTTTGAATCTGTAAAGGCTGCAGCTCTCCAATTGGCAATCCATCTGAGGTAAAAAATTTCAGCAATTCTTTAGCATCTAATGTGACAGAATCCCGTGGACCCTCTTTGTGGCCCAGCAATTGTTCAGATGAACGAGGTAATGAACCAGATCTGTGAAAATAATATCACATGGATTTATTAAAACTGGCGATTAAGTGACCACAGTCAGGAAAAATATATCTGAGCAGAAGCCAGAAAAAACACACAGAGAATACTGAAGAACTATACATTTACAGGGGAAATAAAGTCATTGCAAATAATTTACTATCAATTCTTTAAATAGTATATTGAGGTCACTATAAAACTTACAGTTACCCTGCTACTAATAATAATGTTCCTACTTAAGCTAAAAAAAAGTATTATTTTGGGAGAGAGGGGTTTAAGACCAGAGTCAGCAGTGCTCAGGGGTGACTCTCAGTTCTGTGCTCAGGGGTCACTGTGGGCTGTGCTCATAGGACCGTGTGGTGTCGGGATCAAATCTGCACTAAGTACTTTGAGCTATCTCCTCAGTCCGCAAATGTTTCTTTATAAATCACAGCATGAATAATTATTTAGTAGTATGAACTAATCCTATAAAATTCTAATCTCTTTTATATGTTCTGTAATCCCTCAGTATTGTAAATCTTGACAGCAGAGACTGAATGTTCAACAATTATATAAATTTGAAAGATTACTTGAAGCGTAAGTATGAAATGAAACAGTAATCAGATATCTCTCCAAGGTCTTTTCTAGCCATGATTATGACATAATGAATAAGCACTGAATTGTTATTAAAACATGGGAAAGATTTTACACTTTTGAGCTACTTTATATAGAATATATTCTTAGTCCTCACAAATTTCCTTGGAGAAGAAAACCCACCAGAGTATCTTAAACTAAAGGGGCATCTGAGAATAAGTACTTTATAAAATGAAAATCTGCATACCAAGCCTAAAAAGCAATCATTATTCCTATTCTCCAGGTAGAAAGATTATCAGAAAAGACTGCATTATAGAGGAGTCAGGCAGTTATTTAGAGCGATAACACAAGAACTAGACTGACTCCTAATTAGGCACTCTAATTTCTCATTACAGACTATAATTTCCAATTTCTAATCTATCCCTCTATACACCTCCTAAGTCCCAAACAAGATTTTAAAATTAGAAATATGAAAATAGTTTCAGATAATGCTAAATTTCTCATCAAGGACTAAGTCACAAATTATACTACTGCTGTTACCATAACAAAAATAAAATCTTTCAAAACTAAAAATGGTATTTCTGACTTTGCATGAATTCAACTATTTCTTCATTATTCTATGGCTCAAATAAAATCAAGAATTTTTGCAAATTATATGATTAATATTTTGACATGATGTTTTAGGTATATATCTCTGCATTAAAGATTAATAATGTACAAACAATTCCCCTGCCCCTTCCTAATCCATTTATTTTTAAATTAAAAATATAAACATAATAAAAACAGTCCAACTAGAAGACACTAAAATATTTTCTCTTAATTTCATACCCCAAGAGGGCAAAAACTACATTAACAATTTAATTAAATTTCTATTTAGCTGTTTTCTAGAAGTGATTCAGGATGAAGGTGCCAATGAATACTACTTTCCGTCAATTTACATGTCAGATATAATGGAGAAACAACTTATATTTATACAACACTCTGGGGCTGGAGCGATACACAGCTGCTAGGGCGTTTGCCTTGCACAAAGCTGACCTGGATTCGATTTCTCCATCCCTCTCTGAGAGCCTAGCAAGCTACCAAGAGTATCCAGCCCGCACAGCAGAGCCTGGCAAGCTCCCTGTGGTGTATTTGATATGCCAAAAACAGTAACAAGTCTCACAATGGAGACGTTACTGATGCCCACTGGAGCAAATCAATGAATGGGAGGACACTGCTACAGTACAATACTCTGGACACAAATATACCAAAGCAATTAAACAAAATCCAACATGATAAATCATACTATCAAGACATATTTTTCAATTTAAAAAAATAAATGAAACCAAAAAACCACAACACACAAAAATAAAAATACCAAAGAAACAAATTAGTGAGATCATTCAAAGAACAGATAAATCAAGGTAAAAAAGAAGTCCAATTAATCCTTACTGTGTCTTCTCAACATATGAAATAAGAGATTGCGATAAATAAGGAAGAGAACAAAAACCAATCAGGTATTGAAAATATGACTGCCAAAAATATAACAAAAGGTGAAAGCAACCGTCGGAGAAAAGATTTTCGAACACAGAGCAGACATTAGGTTAAGTGAAGTAAGTCAGAAGAAGGATAAACAGAGGATGATATCAATATATTATATGTGGTTTTTATAGGGCTGGAGTGATAGCACAGCAGTAGGGTGTTTGCCTTGCATGCAGCCAGCCTGGCTGAGCCAGGTTCGATTCCTCCGCCCCTCTCAGAGAGCCTGGCAAGCTACCGAGAGTATTCAGTATGCCAAACACAGTAACAACAAGTCTCACAATGGAGATGTTACTGGGCCCACTCGAGCAAATCGATGAACAACGGGAGGACAGTGACAGGGTTACTGGATGAGGAAAGGCAAAGGTTTAATGGGGGAATGCGTAGGTCACCCTTGGTCCCAAAATACAGAGAAGGAAAGACAACGGGTGTAGAGTGGGTGGAAGGAGAGAAGAGACAGGTGAGAAGCAATAGGGGTTAAGGGTCAGGTCAAGGTTCACTGGTGGTGTTAAGGAATGACAGAAGTAAATATCCAAAGGACAGTGTCAACAACATTAAAATCGTAAGACTCAAACTTTGAAAGGTGCCTGTCAAGGAGGGAGGTGGGGTTTGGGTAGGAGAGGGAACCTGGAAACACTGGCAGACGGAAGCTGGCGCTGGTGGCAGAGTCGGTGATGGAACACGTATGTCTAAAATCTAACTATAAATAATTTTGTAAATCATGTTGGGTGCTTTAATAAAATAAAATTTAGAAGAAAAAAAAGAACACAGAACAGAAAAGAGATGGATTATTGAGAGGGGGAAAAAATACAACTTCAAAGAAAAAAATCACTCCAGAATGCTAAAACATATTTCAGAGGGTGAGGGAAAAAGGAAAACAGAGCAAAGAACATCATAAGAAGCAACAGAGTATTTCCCAACACTCATCCTACTCTTCAAAGCTAGAAATCTAAATGATCTAAGATGTCTCTTTTTGCCTGTCATCAACATCTAATCCATTTAATCAGTTTTTTTTTTTAAATCCCAATTTACCACCAAAATAAATCCCGAATCTGTTACTAGTCTGGTTGCAAATCTCTCTCACTCACTTAGCCTACAGAAAAAGCTACTTAACTGATTGGCAAGAGAGGGAAACAGGATGTCTTGTTCTTAATATCTTGTTCCTACAATCTATTTGCCACAAAAAAGCAAAAGTCATTCTACAAAATCAGATCACACCAATCTGCTATAAAAACCTTTCAAAAACTCAGCAATGTGTTTAAAAAAAACCCCATAAAACTCTAAGTCTGCATTATGACTAAAAAGACCCTCCTTTATTCACTAGATCTCAATTCAAGAGACGCTTCTCAAAGATGCCATCCTGACCTCATCAAAGTTTGCACCACTTCACTTTCTCCAGCAAATTACACTGCCCCGCATTTCTGTCAATGATTTCATTCATTACAGATTTCTTCCCCCCAGGTTTTGGGACCACACCTGATAGTGCTCAGAGCTTACTCCTGGCTCTGCACTCAGGGATCATTCCAGGCTGGGTTCTAGGGACCATATAGGGTGCCAGGTACGGAAACTGGATCAGCCACATGCAAGGCAAGCACCCTACCCATTACACTAACTCTCCAGCCCCTCCATGTAATATTTAACTGTTGTATTTATTTATTTCTCTTTACATTTTACTTACATATTTATTTTTTTTGTAGTGTGGGTATTGAGCCCAGGACCTTTATACATGCAAAGCGAGTATTCTTCCACTGAGCTACATTGCTGGCCCTACTTTCTTCTTTTCTTTTGATACAGTCTCCCATTAAAGGTGACTCTAAGAGGAGAGCTTGACACACAGACGGTGCTCAACAAATATCTTCTAATGTATCTTAACAACATATTAAAAGTGGCCAATGCCATAAACAGAAGAATTAAAAATGAATCTGGAAACTGTCACTTTCAGTTTGGGGGAAGTGGGTAATTTAAGGGACCGGAATTATTCTCCCTCTTTTGTTTTATCATTCTAGAGTTAGGTCCTGAGTGCTCAATTTTTAAAAAAAATTTTTATTAGTGAAACACCTTGGGCTTCAATTATACAATGATCGAGTATCCATCCCTCCCCCAGTGCCTATTTTCCACCACCACGGATCCCAGTATCCCTCCCACCATCCAACCCCCCGCCCCCCCCCCCCCCCCCCCCCCCGCCAATCCACCCTGCCTCTGTGGCAGGGCATTCCCTTTTGTTCTCTCTCTCCTTTTGGGTGCTGTGGTTTGCAAAAGAGGCATTGAGTGGCAATCATGTTCGGTCTATAGTCTACTTTCAGCACGCATCTCCCATCCTGGGAGGATCCTCCCAACACCCTTTATTTGGTGCTCCCTTCTCTATCTGAGCTCCCTTTTCCCCTAGCATGTGCAGCTGGCCCCCAAGCCATGGAGTAAACCTCCTGGTACTTATCTCGGATATTCTTGGGTGTTAGTCTCCTATTTTGTTACTTTATGTTCCCCAGATGAATGCAATCTTTCTACGTCTGTCCCTTTATTTCTGACTCATTTCGCTGTGCATGATACTTTCCATGTAGTACCACTTGTATGTAAATTTCATGACTTCATCTTTTCTAACAGCTACATAGTACTCCATTGTGTAGATGTACCAAAGTTTCTTTAACCAGTCATCTGTTCTCGGGAACCCTGAGTGCTCATTTTTTCTTTTTTAAATTGGGTGTTTTTTTTTTCTTTTTTTTTTCTTTTATTATTTTTAGTGAAACACCATGAGGTACAGTTGTAGATTTACAATTTTTTGTGCTTAGGTTTCGATTATACAATGATCAAATACCCATCCCTCCACCAGTGCCCATTTTCCATCACCATGGATAATATCCCTCCCCCCCATCCCCCCAACAAACCCCCCCCCCCCGCCTCTGTGGCAGGCCAATCCCTTGTGTTCTCTCTCTCCTTTTGGGTGTTGTGGTCTGCAAAAGAGGCTTTGAGTGGCAAACATGTTCAGTCCATAGTCTACTTTCAACATGCAACTCCCATCCTGGGAGGATCCTCCAAACACCCTTTATTTGGTGCTCCCTTCTCTGCCCTTTCCCCTTGAATGCCCGGCTGGCCTCTAAGCTATGGAGTAATCCTCCTGGTGTTGATCTCAGCTATTCTTGGGTATTAATCTCATATTTTGTTTCTTTATATTCCCCAGATGAATGCAATCTTTCTATGTCTATCCCTCTCTTTCTGACTCATTTCGCTTAGCATGATACTTTCCATGTTGTACCACTTGTTTATAAATTTCATGACTTCATCTTTTCTAACAGCTACATAGTACTCCATTGTGTAGATGTACCTAAGTTTCTTTAACCAGTCATCTGTTCTTGGGCATTCAGGTTTCTTCCAGTTTCTGGCTATTGTAAAGAGTGCTGCAATGAACAAACAAGTGCAGATATCACTTCGACTATACATTTTTGCCTCTTTGGGATATATTCCCAGGAGTGGTATTGCTGGGTCAAATGGGAGCTCAATTTCTAATTTTTTGAGAATCGTCCATACTGTTTTCCAGAAAGGCTGAACCAGTCGACATTCCCACCAACAGTGAAACAGTGTCCCTTTCTCGCCACATCCGCGCCAGCATCGGTTGCTTTTGTTCTTTTGGATGTGGGCCAGTCTCTGAGGTGTGAGATGGTATCTCATTGTGGTTTTGATCTGCATCTCCCTGATAATTAATGATGTAGAGCATTTTCTCATGTGCTTTTTTGCCATTCGGATTTCTTCTTTGAGAAAGTTTCTGTTCATTTCATTGTCCCATTTTTTGATGGGGTTGGATGTTTTCTTCTTGTGGAGTTCAACCAGTATTTTGTATATCCTTGATATCAACCCCTTGTCAGATGTGTGTTCGGCGAATATCCTTTCCCATTCTGTAGACTGTCTTTGTATTTTGGTCACTGTTTCTTTGGAGGTGCAGAAGCTTTTTAGTTTAAGATAGTCCCATTTATCTATCTCTGTTTTCACTTGCTCGGCCAGTGGCGTGGCATCTTTGAAGATACCATTAGCTTCAATGTCATGGAGGGTTTTGCCAACTTTGTCTTCAATGTACCTTATGGTTTCTGGTCTGATGTTGAGGTCTTTAATCCATTTTGATCTTACTTTTGTACATGGTGTTAGGCAGAGTTCTAAGCCCATTTTTTTGCATGAGGCTGTCCAGTGATGCCAGCACAATTTGTTAAAGAGACTTTCCTTACTCCACTTCACATTACTTGCACCTTTATCAAAGATTAGATGATCACATGATTGAGGGGAGATGTCAGTGTATTCAAAAATTGGGTGTTTTTTAATTGTCTTTGATTTTTCTTTTTGGGTCACACTCAGCGATGCACAGGTCACTCCTGGGCTCTGCACTCAGGAATTACCCCTGGCGGTACTCAGGGGACCATATGGGATTCTGGGAATTGAATCCGGTTGGTCGCGTGCAAGGCAAACGTCCAACCTGCTGTGTTATTGCTCCAGCCCCAAGTGCTCAATTTTTTGGTAAGTGAATCAAGAAAAACAAATCCAAGACTGAAAGCTAAATATTCCTCTAATCATTTGCGATCTTGTAAAGATTAATTGGACTTTTAACTTGTCTGATCTGTTTCTTGAATGGTTAAATTAAAAATTGGGCTGGAGAAAAGTTCAAAGGGCCAAATGGAAGCTCTGCATGCAAGAAGTATGTGTTTGATCACTAGCACCATATGGTCCCCTAAGCACTGACTCAGGAGCACTCCTGGGTATCACTAGATGGAGCCCACAGCCCCCTCAAACAAAAGCAACAACAACAAAAAAAAAAACGAAAACACTTAACTGTACTTCTTCAAGTTGTCATAAGAACTCTACAAGAATGCACAACAGAAACAACTGATAGTGATTCAAAGGAGGGTACTATTATCTTTCTTACTCATTTTTCTTATATATTCAAGCAGCATTGTGTCCCCACCCCCACCCCCAACCGCCCCGTCATTGTATTAAACCCCTGACTGTGTTGGCAGGTAAGTGCCAGGAGAGGCTCCTGGGGTTTCTGAGCAATGCCTCTCTGCCCACCCCCCATTACTGTTATTAAATAAGTCAGGGAGTGTAAGACAACTACTAGATGGTTTTAAGCCTATGTAGTATACTATTGACAAACGTAAATGAACTGGAAAAAACAAACAGCAAAACAAACTCACACTCAGTGAAAACTATAGCACCTCTGGAAGAAAAGAGAAAGGCAGGAGAAATGGCAGTGTGGTCTCTGAGTAGGGAGAAGACATTAGAATTTTGGTGGCGGTTGTAGGGGGGGCGGGGATCATACACAATGAAAGATGTGATACAATACCCCTATAGACTATAAACTCTATAGTATTATAAACCAGTGACAAACTGATAGAAATGAATGAAATACCATCTCATATATTGGCAGGTTGCAGTTTAGAGTAGACCTTAAAAGTTCTTTAAAAAAAGACCTTAAAAAAAAAAACAAACAACCTTGTAACTCTGGGGTAATGAACACTAACCACTTTCCTGTGTTTACCACAGGACTCATTTTGTAATAGATGTAAGTATCGAATCATTATGCTTCACACCTAAAATGTACTATCATATCAGTTATTTCTCAACTCAAAAAAAAAAAAAAGAGTCTGAGCCATTTAAATGTTACCTCATTTTCTGTTTGGCTTTTTCAAAAGTTTCCAAATTCTGAAGAACATGCCTTTCGGGCCATTCTAAGGGATTACTCTCCATTAAACTTGAGGAAACAGGTGCGACTGGGACATCTACAGAGAAAGAAAACCAGGTAAGTCCTGAAAAGTACTGACTTACTGAATTTTGCTACATATAAATGCAAACAAATATATATATACATATACATCTATATACACACACACATGCTTACACATAAACATGCATTTCTGCATTAAATCATGCTAAACTGAAAAAATACCACAAAAAATGTTCCACAGAAAGTTATTATGTCTTTGATTGCCTGAACTATGCAAAATGCCATAGAAAAGGTTTTTGGAAGGGATGGGATCGTATAGAGGTAGGGTGCCTGCTCGCATGCTTGCATGTCAGGTTCAATCCCTGGCATCCCAGAAGGTCCCTTGAGCCTCAGGAGTGACCCTGAGCACAGAGAGAGAACCAGGAGTAAGTCCTGACAGCAACCATGTGTTACCCAAAACAAAAAACAGTAACAACAAAATAACCAAAACCCAAAAACTATTTTAAGCAGAAAAATCTCATATTATAATGGAGGGAATTTTGTGTTGTTGTTTAGGGCCATATCTGGCAGTGCCCATGGTTTATTCACAGTGGTGCTGAGGGAACCTTTTTGTCAGGAATCAAACCTGGAGATCCTACATACAAAGCTTTCACTCAGTCCGTTAGGCTCTCTCTCCCACCCAATAAAAGACATTTTAAACAGAAAGAAAAATTAAACGTAAATGGAAACAGAGGCCAAGTACTGTTATTTTTCCCTTTTCATATTAAGCTATTTAGCCTTGAATGTTTCAAAATAATTTTAACATCAGTATTTAATACTCCTACCAAACATTCACTACACATATACCACAGTACCCTTTTTTAGTAAGGTAATGAAATACCGGTGACCTTACAAAATGTGATCTATAACAAATAATCTCTTTTTAATATTGCTTTCCATTGTTTAACATGGCTTTCCACTAAAATATGTCTCAAGAAAGCAAGTATTAGCAGTTCAAACAGTTGCCTGCTAGGTTCACAAAATAACGCAAGTCATTTGAATCAAAAGTAAAAATTAGCTGCCCAAATTATTACAATTCACTGTTAACTGAGTATGAAAGCTACAAATCTATAAATCACTTATTAAGGAGCTGATGGTTAAAACACTCATACATTCTATGTACTGGTGGGAATAATTTAATGTCATTCTTACAGCAAAATAAAATACAATATTGCATATTGCATGTACATAGTTGTCAGGACAGTGAAACATGCAGATAAGTAAAATGCATACAAAGGGTCTCAGGAAAACCACGAATAGTACTTTAATACAAAAACATAAAAACAATCACTTTATCAAAAAACAAAAAAGTAAGAGCAATACAAAAGGGGAGGTGGGCTGGCTACAAATCACAAAGGAAACGTTACTGCAGATACACACATAGGGCCAAAGACCTTGCAGGCCATATATACTTATACTGGATAAATCACAAAGAAAAGAGTACATTATAATGGGGATACTCTGTTTTTAAAAGCATTATACAAATACCAAAGGATCTGCATTAAAATGTTTGAAGTAATAAAATTATGACCTCATAGAATTATCTAGGAAATCCATTTATGTAGTACCTTTAGCAATTTGGAGGCAATGGTAAATAAAATTATTGGATTAAGACATTTCCTCCAGCCTGATTTTGTTATACATGGAAGAGTTTTTATAAAGAACGAACAGATCAGCCTTAACAATTACTAATAACTTCTAATATGCATGGCTACAAATACAGGGTTGAAAGACGGAACGAAATTAACCTTCCTGCTTCTTCTGCTACCTAATGGGCATGCAGATATAAGCATTCAAACAAAAACTCTGAGGGCTGCTTCACATCACAGCTTCATTCTTGGGAGTCATGTTCAAAGTCACGAAGCAGCACATTTTAGAACAGGTTTAGAAAACTTCAGGAGGTATTTCATTGTTATCAGTGCTTAGTCCTCTGTGCAAGCAACAGTGCCAGGCTCGTGACAGAATGGAGAAAGCAAATAGGAACACAGGGAATACAGGGTTTAGAGAGAAGACGACAGCCAGCTAGCCAGTAATTACCTAGAGTCCATAATGTAAAATGCGACAATTATGTGTAGAAAAACTACAGGGAAGAATTATGTCGGGAAACAGTTTATACTCAGCAAGACCTAGAAAAGGCTGTTGCAGAGAAGACATTGAAAGGCAGACTTAGGGCAGGAACGAGGCCCCAGGGCCTGCAGTACATGCTTTGCATGCAGGAGGAGGTCTGGGGACATCACAGTGTGGTCCCCTAAGAACCAACAGGAGACACCCCTAAACGCTGGAGCTGGGAGAAACCCTCAGCCCTGCTGGGTGTATGTTCCTCACCCCCACCCTACTACACACAAAACAAACAACAACCAAAAGCAGAAAAAAGGGAGAAAAAGCGAATGACAGATTCCTAAGAAATGACTGTCAAAGCGAAAGTGGCACTGGGAGAAGCTGAAAGTCAGAGATCACTTAGGTACTTACAGTTCACATAAATAGTGCAGTGCCATGTGTAACAGGAAGCAATCACAAAGGTGTGAGTCATGGAGAGAGATACAATTCATGTTTTAAGATGAGTACTCTTGTAATTCAATGTGGTAACAATGTCTTGGGACTTTGTACAATTCTTTGTAAAATGCATTCCATTTATTAACGTTATTGCAATGCTTTGAGCCCTTCTGATCTTTCAATGATTTGTTACTATTCAAATCCTGATTAAGCCAGTCTCTCTCCATCTTAGTTCTCTCTGCAGCTCACCTATGTGGCTAGCCTACCTAGAAACCCCCTCCCCTCCTCTTTGTCCAAACCCTACAAACTACTGATGGTCTACAGAAAATCCCTTGGCTGCTAACAGTGTTCTGTGGATCATCTACTCAATTCTGACTCCTCTAAATTCTTATTCATTTATCAAACCAGCATGCCTACAATGCTTATTTTATACTGAGCAACACTATAGGAAACTTACAAATTAATTCTTTTAAACTTCAGCGCAACCTATGTATTTCCTCACTGAAAGAGAAAAAGAGAGAAAGAGAAAGAAAGAAAGAGACAGAGAGAAGGAAAGAAAGAGGAAAAAGAAACAAAGGATTCTCAAAAAATTAGAAATTGAGGTCCCATTTGATCCAGCAATACCACTCATGGGAATATATCCCAGAGAGGCAAAAAAGTACAGTCGAAGTGACATCCGCAATTGTCTGTTTATTGCAGCACTCTTTACAATAGCCAGAATCTGGAAAAAACCTGAGTGCCCGAGAACAGATGACTGGTTAAAGAAACTTTGGTCCATTTACACAATGGAGTACGATGTAGCTGTTAGACAAGATGAAGACACGAAATTTACATACAAGTGGTACTACATAGAAAGTATCATGTTAAGCGAAATGACTCAGAAAGAAAGGGATAGACATAGAAAGATTGCATTCATCTGGGGAACATAAAGTAACAAAATAGGAGACTAACACCCAAGAATGGCCAAGATTAGTACCAGGAATTTTACTCCATGGCTTGGAGGCCAACCACACATACTAGGGGAAAAGGGAGCTCAGATAAAGAAGGGAACACCAAAGAAAGGTGTTGGGAGGATCCTCCCAGGATGGGAGAAGCATGCGAAAAATAGACTATAGACTAAACATGATTGTCACCCATTGCCTCTTTTGCAAACCACAACACCCAATAAGAGAGAAAGAACAAAAGAGAATGCCCTGCCACAGAGGCAGGGTGGGATGGGGGGTATGGGGGTGGGAGGGATACTGGGATCCGTGGTGGTGGGAAATGGGCACTGGTGGAGGGATGGGTACGTGATCACTGTATAATTGAAACCCAAGCACAAAAATGTGTAAGTCTGAAACTCTACCTCATGATATCTCACTATTAAAAAAATTTTTAATAAAAAAAGAAACAAAGAAGGAAAGAGAGAGGAGAGAGAAGAAAAGAGACAAAGAAAGAAAGAGAAATAAAGAAAAAGAGAGAGAAGAGAGAAGGAAAAAGATGAGAAGGAGAGAAGGAAAGAGGCAAAAAAGAAAGAAACAAAGAAAGGAGAGAGAAGGAGAGAGAAGAGACAACGAAAGAGAAAAAAAGAAAAAGAAAGAGAGAGGAGAGAAGGAAAGAAAAATGAAAGGAAGGAAGGAAGGAAGGAAGGAGAGAAGGAAAGAGGCAAAAAAGAAAGAAACAAAGAAAGGAGAGAGAAGGAAAGAGACAAAGAGAAACAAAGAAAAAAAGAGAGGAGAAGGAAAGATGAGAGAAAGGAAATAAGAAAGAAAGAAAGAAAGAAAGAAAGAAAGAAAGAAAGAAAGAGAGAGAAAGAATGAAAGAAAGAAAGAAGAAAGAAAGAAAGAAAGAAAGAAAGGAAGGAAGGAAGGAAGGAAAGAAAGAAAGGAAAGAAAGAAAAGAGAGAGAAAGGAGGTTCAGAATGGTTCAAGAATCTGTCCAGGATCACACAACAAACTAGCTACAGAACCAGAATTCAACTTCAATATTTTTGGCTCCAAAGCTCATGATGTTGCCAAGAAGTGATAAGTTCTTTCACTTACTGAAAATAGCCCCACTGAGAAGTAACCATAAACTGCCTTCTGTCATTATTACTCTCACTTGCTATTATTCACCTTGTAATGAGGAAACAATGATAATGATGATTATTATACAAATATCAGCTCACATTTTTTGTGTCATTTATTATGTTCTAAGTGTTTTATACATTCATCAACTCATTGAATTCCCACAGTAACCTGAGTAATGAGTAACGGTATTATCCATACTAAACATGAGGGACACACAAAAAAAGTTAAATAACTTTCCCAAAGATATTCTGTAACAATTGATAAGACTGAGATTTGAACTTTTTCACAGTCTAGCTATTGATACTAAGCTCTGAACATCATTTTTTATTTATATTTTACTCTCAAATAGCTTAGACCATGTTTCACTAATAACTGTTCTTAGTGCATTAGGGTAATCATTGCACCTTGTTTTTAAGTAATCCCAATGCAGTTTTTAATTGTATTATTATTATTAATTTTCTTTTGATTTGGAGCCACACCCAGCGATGCTCAGGGATTACTCTTGGCTCTGAGTTCAGGGATTACTCCTGCTGGTTCTCGGGGGACCATATGGGTGCCATGAATAGAACCTGGGTTGGCCACATGCAAGACCAACACCCTACCCTCTGTACTACTGCACCAGCCCCCCAATTCAATTGTTTTTTTCTTAAAAAAAGAATCACAGACTGTCACATATCATTTTCTCCATTTTTGCAAAAATAATGGGCATACCAGGAGGATTACTCCATAGCTTAGTGGCCAGTTGGGCATTCTAGAGGAAAGGGCAGCTCAGATAGAGAAGGGAACACCAAATAAAGGGTGTTTGGAGGATCCTCCCAGGAGGGAGATGCATGTCGAAAGTGGACTATGGACTGAACATGTTTGCCACTCAATGCCTCTTTTGCAGACCACAACACCCAAAAGGAGAGAGAAAACACAGGGGACTGCCCTGCCACAGAGGCAGGGGGGGATGGGGGGATGGGGGTGGGGGGGATATTATCCATGGTCGTGGAAAATGGGCACTGGTGGAGGGATGGGTATCTGATCATTGTATAATCAAACCCAAGCACAAAAAATTGTAAATCTACAACTGTACCTCATGGTGTTTCACTAATAAAAAAAAATTAAAAAAAATAATGGGCATAAAATCTGCAACAGAAATGTGGTAAAGCCTGTTGAAAATCATGACCAAAACTTTACTTTTCTGAGTACCTTCAAATTGCTAAACATTAGGAAAAAGTGCTCACATAATGTTACTGCTGACTTGATTCTTTGGTCATTTTCTTATTACCCTATAAAATAAAAAATAATTCTGCTCAAATTAAAACAAAAAAATAGCCTAGACATTCAAAGTACCACGGAGGATAGGAGCAAATGAAGTCATGCAATGTTATTTGCATCAACTTGGCTGGAACCGGAAGGGATCACATGGAGTGAAATAAGTCAGAGGCAGAGGGGAAAATACACTACCACTCACCAGTGGTACAGAGAGAATCAAATCAAGGGCATAGACAATATCAAGCAATTACAAAGCTGAGAGACAGGCTGGGGGGCAGGGGTGATGGGAACAAGTAGACTGATTGCAGTAACATGGGAACATAGGTGGAGTCTTGCATATATGGGTGATGATGGGTGATGGCTGATCGAGAAAGCAGCCAGCACTGTAACTGCCAATCAACAAATAATGGGTGAAGGAAAATCACACCAGAGATGGCAAAGTGAAAGGTGTGGAGGGTCACAGACACTTCAGTGGCAGTGATGTGAAATGACTTTATATAGCAATAGTATAAAACTTGAACACCACTATAACCATGTTACCTAAACTATAATTTAAAAAAATAATGATTAAAAAAAAATACCAGGCAGGGCTAGGCAGATAGTTCAAAAGTTAAGTGTACACACATTGCATGCAGGAAGCTGGGTTTGATTCTCCAGCACCACACAGTCGCCCAAGCACTGCCAGGAGGAACCCAGGAGCACTGTACTAGGAGTATTCATTGACTACCACCTATCCAACCTCCAAGTAAAAGACGTAGTAAAGTAGTTCACCAGGAGAGAGCTTGTCTTGTATGGGTCAGACCCTGGATTCAATCCCTGAGCTTACAAAAAACGGTCAAAAATAAAATAAAATTATGCTAAACAAAATTAAAACTGCTAGGCAATCTTCAAAAGGTTTCCTATTAGATCTTACCAAGTGTCACTTTTCAATTTATCACAATAGTAGAAAAGAGGAAAATCGAAAAAAATGCAAGTTAATAGAGAATTAAATTTCATCCTCCCAGTCAAGGGCAGTGACTATTCTTGCTAAATGAACAGCAAATGTATAGCTTCTCATTATAAGTAGCTTTAAAAACATCGTATTTACCTGTGCTCTACTTTCTTCACCTTATCAAAACAATAGAAATCTACCCATTCTAACAACAAGGTAAGCAAAATATTAGGAGGCATCACTTTCATTTTGGCTTTTTGCTTGCTTACTTAGGGCCACACCCAGCAGTGATGGGGGTTACTCCCATCTCTGTGCTGTGGGGTTGCTCCCAGCCAGTCCCCACGGGGCCATGCAGTGCTGGAGATGGAACTCAAGGCTCTCACAGACAAAGCACACTCAACCCAATCTCTTGCCCAGGATCATAAAAAAACGTTTCTCCCAGATAGTGGATGTGGTCCAAATGGCGTAGTAAGGTCCTGAGTTTGATTTCCAGCACTGCATAACTGAAAATCCGGCCTCAACCTCCATCATCACTGGGTATGGTCCTGGGTATCTTGAAAATACAACCAGAAATGGCTTCGGCAATCATCTGACCTGGGTTCGATCCCTGGCACTGCATATGGTCCCCTCAGCACAGAGCCTAAAATAAATCGTAAGTTGGGTGTGATCCAAACTCTAATCACTCCTCCCCCAAAAACCTGTTTTCCCCCTACTCAAAAACAATTATATTGAACATAGAAGTATCAACGTACTAGAAGTTATCAAGCTCATTATTGTTTAAATGAGAAATAGCTCATCAAACATATTTCTATATATATATCTACATTTCTCTATAAAGCACATACGTAATTATGATATAAATCATTATTGATGACTTTAAATTTGTAAGGCTCTGATATGATAAATATTTTAATTCATTTTAATAATAACTCATACACGTGACATATACCTCCAAAAAGAACATTAAAACACTTACCACTTAGTACCTTTGGGGTTTCCATTTTTTCTCTCTGTGCTGGAACTATTTTAGGAATCAGTTTATTAAAATGATCTAAAAAGCGCTCTCTTGCGAGTATTAGTAGACTTTTGAGCTCATCAATAGAAATGACTTCAGACTCTTTTGCCAACTTTCTCCTTTCTGGAAGACAACAAAGCAAGACAATGAACCACATGGCTATAAGTTTAAATCCTCTCTGGGATGTACCTACTATTTTTATTATGGGGAATATTTTCAAAAGTGAGGCACGTGAACGTTTAGAGCAAACCAACATTCATATGAGGACCCAGCTTCCATTTCAACCCGACTGAAAAGATCATGGTAGAATGTGGAATGATGTGAGGTGGATAAAGTAACACTGCACGTTTACCAAAGTTTCTGAACAATATGTGCATCACTAAAATTAGTCTTAAGCTGTGTGTGTGTGTGTGTGTGTGTGTGTGTGTGTGTGTGCGTGTGTTGTGGGGGTGGGGGGGCTACTTAGGTAACAAGTCAAACCTTATAAACTACTTCAAATTTCTTTTCCTCTCCTAAACCTAACACCTTAAAGGGACAGAAAGGGACAAAGCAAGGTAGGACACGAGAGAGGAAAGCAGAAAGCAAGCACAGACACAGGCGGTTCTCAAGGAACTGGAGCATGTGGTGACCAGGGGTGCAGAGCAGAAGGAGGGCTGATTTGCTGCCCCCAGGAACACTGCGGGCTCATGATGGTGGTGCTAAGACTCGGAGTTCACTATTTTTTAAATCCATTTTGTTTTCAGTAAGTACCACAGAATTTTTTAAAATGGTATCTGTGTATTACTTTTGTAAAAATAATTCACTTTAAAACAAATCTGGGCTACTCATGTTTTCATCCATAATAAAATAGAAAGCTGTAAATTCATACATAACTCAATTCTACAAGCATTTATTGAGTATGTCGTGCCTGCAGAGCTCTGTGGTGCGTGTTTGGACAAAGAGTATTAAAGCCTATTACATCATTCTCCATGAGGTCGGTACATGCATAATGCAAGAGAACAAGCAAGAGACGAAGAGGTCAGTCTCAAGGTTTTGATAGATGCCTCTGGGAAAGGTCCACATCACTAACATGGGCATCAATCAGGCCATTCTAATTCTGATCCAGGATAAGTAACACACAGTATCTGCTGTCAAGAATGGTCATTGAGGGATGAGGGTCTGGGTTGGGAGGGAATATGGGAACACTGTTGGGGGAAGTTGATACTGGTGGTGGGGTTGGTGCTGAAATTAAATGCCTAAAACTTAACAATCAATGACTTTATAAATAACAGTTCTTTAATAAAAAGAACAGTAGTTAAGAGTACAATAAAAGCTAAAACATCTATTTTTCTTAGAGTTTTGAAGTGAGAAAAATAAAAAGCGTCAACTCATTTGATTTCCTGTCCAATGTGCTAGGGGCCATTCTAGAACAAAAAGTTCCCGACTTTTATCAGGAAGATGCACTACAGTCTGACTCTCACATTTTCAGTCATAGCACAAATACACTGAAACCCAACCCTGACCCATGCTATGGGAACTGACAGCACCCCGACCGAAAACAGCTGCAAGGGCTGGCACACAGCTTCCAGGAGGAAGCACAGAGATCAATTTCCATGGCATCAAGTCCTTCTCCAGCACCGCTAGGTGTGGCCTTGCTGGCCCACAGGACCACCGGACCCCCTAAGCCCCGGTGGCATTGTGACACAAAGCCCAGGCACTGCAGTCTCAGCCCTCACACCGGGACTCAGTAGCCTCCAGGTGGTTTCTGGGCCCGCAGCACCATGTGGGAGGTCTCCCTCATACTCGGAAAAAAACCCCAAACAGTCCAAACTGTCAATTATATTACCACATTGGATGATCTAGAGAGCAGGGCAAACTTTATATTGAACTGAGTGACTGGGGGAAAAAAGGAGAGAAAATAGACCTGTACTTGGATTACAAACTGCATAATTGACCTGGGAGGAAGGGAAATGGGGAACTTTGCACAAATAATGGCAGATAAAGGTTTGAGAGAAAAATATTGGACCAAAGTCTAAGACCAAAATAGCCAAGAAAGCTATTCCTGGGGCCTCGGGATGTGGCTCAGGGGTAAAGCGATGCCTTGTACATATGAGGGAGTGCACTCACGGCCCCACCCCAGTTTCGTCAAGTGCCACCCCAGGTCCCAGAGTGCAAGTCCAGCACAATGCGACCAAGTGCGTGTGAGCCTGTGACCAAGTACTCACCAGTCCAGGAACCCTGTGACAAATATGCCAGCAGAGATATCCCAACACTGACAGTGACATCAACAAAGGGAAGAGAAGACGAAAATAATAGCTAGCCAAAACTTCTTTTTTAAAAATATTATTACTAAAAAGTTTATTCATTGAAAGAAAATATAGACAAGGATATCAACAAATATCAGTACACTAAAATTCAAACAAGAAATTTCGAACTGATGCCAGGAGCTCTCAACAGTGACCCTGGTATTAGAGCGAGATGATGATGCTACAGCTTTGATATGTGTTTCCCCCAGGCTGGGAACATAAAGCTCAAAGCATCACATACGTGCATGTGGGAAAAAGTTCAGTATGGAAGAGATTTTCTTTAAATATTAAAATGAGAGAATATTTTTATTTATTTTTTATTATTTTCCATTTTTTGCTTTTTGAGTCATACCCGGCGATGCTCAGGGGTTACTCCTGGCTCTGCACTCAGGAATTACTCCTGGCGGTGCTCAGGGGACCATATGGGATGCTGGGAATCGAACCCGGGTCGGCCGCGTGCAAGGCAACGCCCTACCCGCTGTGCTATCTCTCCAGCTCCGAGACAATATTTTTAAATAAAAAAATCATGTAAAACATAATCCCGAATCAAGTAAAACACAAAGTATAAAATCAAATATAAAATGCATCATTCTACTATCAAAACATTAGAAACACTTTTTTTTAATTAAGCAAAACTAAGAAATCTTTCTTTAAAAACTCTAAGAGAATTTTATCTGATGTCTGTATTATTTTAAAAAACAATTAGCCTTGGTAACATATCAACTCTCTGGGCAGACAGGAGGCTGGTCCAATGAATCTTTCCATCATAAGTGGATTAAATGGATGATTCATTTTAATCAAACTTTAATGCTTTGGATAGCAAACTGGCCATTTTACAGCTCTGCCCTGAGCTAGACTATCCGGGAGCGCTAGTTCTGAGGCTCCTTCAGACCTCTTCCGTGTCCCTGTCTTCTGCCCAGCATTATAACTTCTATATTTATGGCATTCAGGAGGAGTTTGGGAGGCTGGCACACACCCCACGGTGCTCAAGGCTCACTCCAGACTCTGCACTCAGGGATCACTCCTGGTGGTGCTAGCAGGGCCTATGTGGTGCTGGGGACTGACCCAGGGTTGGCTGCATAGCAAGGCCAGAGCCCTGGACGATCTCTCCAGTTGTTTTTCAGCATCTCGTGGCACTTTCATCTCCCTCTTCTCTCTGCAGAGCTTTGAATCACACCTATAGGCGGTGATGTACTGATAGCTACTATCCACTAGTATCGATACTAGCAGATGCTCTCTCCCTTGCCGGCCAACAGGAACGGCCCCACTGGAGCGGCTGGGGTTAACTCTTCTCACTCTCACTTGAGGAAGAAAGGCGCACCCAACATCAGAGCTCTGCTTCTTCCACACTGACAGTTTTTCTGGTTGGAAGGATGAGGGACCAAGGTGAAGATGAAAGAGAAGGTAGAAGTTGAAAGAACTGAGTTAAAAAGAGCTGCAGGAGGCTTATTACACTTATACGGATCAGGCCCTGAAGAGGGGGTTAGCGGATGAGAATAAAGCCTGCCACTAATATCACTAGCGGATTTTTTTTTTCGAAGAAAGGTTTTTCATCCACAAAAATAGTACTATTTCAGTACCTTCCTTGCCTTGGCATTAGCATGTACTATCACTGAAATCAATTTGCCTTCTAATTACATTTTCCTTGAAATATGTGGAATCTACTCACACCGTTACTATCATTAATGGCAATGATTAATATCTAAGAATCAAAGCTCAATGTATTGCTTTGCACTGTCTTTTATTTTTTTCCTATTTGTAGTCTCTAGCCTTCCATTACAACCAAAAACATATAAAGAGAATATTTAGGAAGAAATATACAACTAGAATAACAAAATTGAGTTATCTTTTCCAGCCCACAGTCAAAAACAATAAAATACAAAATTTGCCTGGAGAAATATTTTCATAAATGTTAATAACATTGTCCAAATAAAAACGGATATTCTAAATCTAGTCCAAAGAGCTGCAGCTGTCTTTTTATTTGACATCACTTCTATCAAGAAGAGTTTACAGGGTTAGGAAAATAGCTCAAAGGGTTGGAGTGTGTGCTCTGAATGCAAGAGGCCAGGATCAATTCCCAACACTGCCAAGTCCCTAAGAGCACCCAGGTGCCAGTATGACCCCCAAACCGAAAACAAACAAATAAATAAAAAGAATTAGCTCTATACATTAATATAGTATCTAAAAGACAAAAGTGCATAAGAAAAAATCTAATAGACCAGAGTATAGTGCAATGGTAGGACACTTGCCGTCCACGTAGTCAATCAAGGGTCAATTTCTGGTACCACATAGGGTCTCCTGAGCTTGCCAAGAGTGACCCAGGAGTGCTGAGCCAAGAGTAAGCCCTGAGCACTACTGCATGTGCCCCAAAAGTCACAAAAGAAAAAAAAGTACAAAAATCAGAAAGTATGGTATATCAACAACTTGTCATTTTAATAGCATAATGAAATGTACAAATCACTACTTACTCAGGTACTCTTTCAAAGCCAAAGCTTGCACATTAGCTAACTGTTTCTCTCTCTTTATAAGTTGCTCCCCAGAAAGCTGTGGAAGTGACAAGAAGTCAAAAGGAAAACCTGAAGAAGTACGGGGGGAAAAAACTGTATTTAAGACGATCTATGACAACTAATATGCAGTTCTCTGAGAACATGTTACAAAACAATTTCTACCTCTCTAGATCTGACATAATTCAGAGTCAATTACAACCACTAAGTTGCAGGGAAATAGCATATTAAGTTGTTTACCATATTTAACTTTGTGCTACCTCTAAGTTAAGGGAATCTTGGTAGCTGGTATGGATTCCCTCCATTACATTATCCTCAAGCAACTTCACTACCAAATGTCCCACACAAAACAGTGATGGAATATCATAGCTAATCTCTAAATGTGCTCCCCAGGGTCACCCCTCCCCACCCACACCAATGAGCCACACTTCCTTCTACTCACCTGTATGAAATCTTCCACAATGATTCCAGGTTGGGTCTAAGTCCCTAATAAGGCATGGCCAAAGTAACACTGACTTCTAGAAACTCATAGAAAACCTTGCGGCTTCTCAGAACACTGGTTCCAAGAGAAGTCAGCAAACGTGAGACAACCCTGAAATTAGGATGCTCTGAGGGGACTGGCCGTGGTCGTGAGAAAAGGACCCAGGATGAGCATATCAGCTATCATGCGTCTATCCAGCCATCCTGAGCCAGGGCCAAAGGGTGGGAGAAGAAGACATTTCATACAGAGCCCTAATAAGTCTTGCCAGGCCTGCGGTCCCAGCCCTGTGGCTTCAATCAAATGCGGGATTTCAAAACAGAAGCATCCAGCCGGGTCAGTCAACCCCCAGGACTGGAAGACATAATAATAATGGTCCTTTTTCAACTAAATTTGGGGAGTTTGTCTCACAGTGATAGATACCCAAAACACAGAGCTTTAAGAGAAAAGAAAGGGCAAGGAAATGGAACAAGATCCTGGTGAAAAAGTAAATGAAAACCAGAGACAAAATATTGGAATATAAACGATAGCACAGCGGGTAGGGCGTTCGCCTTACAAGCGGCCAACATGGCCGACCCGAGTTCGATTCCTCCGCCCCTCTCGGAGAGCCCGGCAAGCTGCCGAGAGTATTCGATATGCCAGACACAGTAACAACAAAGTCTCCAATGGAGACGTTACTGGGCCCGCTCGAGCAAATCGACGATCAATGTAAAATAGAAAATAGAAAATATTAAAACTTTTGAAATCAATGCTGAACTAAGTTCTATAGCTTCTTGTTCAATAGTGCTACATGTTTTTGTTTGGTTTTGCTTTTTTTGTGCCAGATCTGTCAATACTCAGGGTTTATTCTTGGCTCTGCAACTCAGGAATTAACTCCTGAAGGTGCCAAGGACAGAATCTGGGTTGGCTACATGCAATGCAAGAGCCCTACCTGCTGTGCTATCTCTCCATACCCAATAATACTAAATATTTTTTTAAAAGGTAAATCTGCTGAAAGCAAAATGGAGTTTTTGAGGAAATAAGTTCATTGCAAACAATATAATTTAATATATACACAAACAAATGCATAAAACATAACAAAGCACTTGCCCCAGAAAGCTAACACTTACTCAGTTTGGTTTCTTCTGCCCTTGCTTTCATCTGTCCATGAATTAAACTGAGTGCAAATGAGCCATTGATCTGGTTGGCAGAATAAATCAATGTGGCTTTACATTTTCCACTGCCATTACCTTGGAACAAGAGATAATAACTAGAACACTCTCCTTTCACTTCAACATCTGGAACTAAACAAAAACAATGACGGTATTAATTATGGAGGAACTCAGCATATGACAGAGCAGAATCAGACATTTTGACCCACAAGATAGAATGATGTTCCTATTATTTTAAAACAAGTCATGATTCCATATACTTGCACTGAAAGTTCATTTAATTGAGAAGGCTGTATTGCATTATTTATCGTTATATTCATAATAAGAATGATGCAAGTTTAAACATTTCCCTTTAAGTTAAAATTTGTTTTTTTCATTATTTTTGGGGTGGCTCATTAGGCTAGACAGTATATCTTTTGTACATAATCAGACTCTTCATTGATCAACTACTACTTCTAGCTTTTATTTCTCTGAGGTTGAATCAACAGAACGTTGTGAGTACAAGAACTGTACTGGAGCAGAAGTCCAGACATACTGAGAATAAATTCCACTACTTCAAGTAGTATAAATCCACAGCAAGTGGGTATAGTGGGTGCCCACTATACTGGGTGTGGCCCAAAACCAAAAATAGAAACACTTATTTTTAATTATTGAAATACATTGTGTTATTACATATAACTTCTAATGACTGTGATACCTTTGAGATTAAAAACAGAAGAATTCTTTTTGTTGAAAATGGAAAAGTGGACATATGCATTTATTTTTACTATCTCCTGAAATTCATAAAATGAAAAAATTTTTAAGTGTATTTTACAGAGGGGAAGAGAGTATTTGTTAATTTGGCCTGCCAGTTACATGAAGGTCAGCTAAGACAGATACAGTGTTTTGTTTTGTTTTTTTTTAAATCAAGTGAGGGTTACAGTGAAGGCTGAAGAATGACTATGATGCCTTTGAGATTAAAAAAGAGAAGAGTGCAGAAAGTAGATAAAAGACCAAACATGATAACCTCTCAGTGTCTGTATTGCAAACCATAATGCCCAAAAGAAGAGAGAGATTATGGGGAATCATGTCTTCCATGGAGGCAGGGGGAGGGTGGGTAAGGGGGGCGGTATACTGGGGAGACTGGTGGTGGGGAATGTGCACTGGTGGAGGGATAGGTGTTTGATCATTGTGTGACTGTGACCCAAACATGAAAGCTTATAACTGTCTCATGGTGATTCAATAAAATTAAAAAACAGATAAATAAAAAATAAAAATAAAAAAGAGAAGAGTTCTTTTTGTTGAAGATGGTGAACTGGACATATGCATTTATTTTCACTATCTCCTGAAATTTCACAAAATGAAAAGATTTTTAAGACAGCATAAATTTTAGGGAAATAAGTCAGAGTAAGACAAACACCGGATACTGTAGCATTGTAGCACTGTCCTCCCATTGTTCATCGACTTGCTCGAGTGGGCACCAGTAATGTCTCCATTGTGAGACTTGTTATTACTGTTTTTGGCATATCGAATATGTCACAGGTAGCTTGTCAGGCTTTGCCATCTGGGTGAGATACTCTCGGTAGCTTCCCGGGCTCTCTGAGAGGGGCAGAGGAATCGAACCCGGGTCGGCCACGTGCAAGGCAAAAGTCCTACCCACTGTGCTATCATTCCAGCTGAAACGTAATGCAGTACCCACAAATGCTGAGTAAACATAAACAATATATACCCAAAAGTTATATGTAATAACACAATGTATTTCAATGATTGAAAAATAAGTGTTGTTTTAATTTTTGGTTTATGAGAAATACTCAGTGGTGTTCAGAGCTTACTCCTGGTTCTGTGCTCAGGTATCACTCCTGGCAGCCTTGGGGAACCATATAGAGTGTAGGAGATTAAACCCTGGTCAGTGCAGAAGGCAAATGCCTTACCTGCTGTATTATCACTTTGGTCCCAATGAAAACAAAGTTTTTTTTTTTCAAAGCAAAGCATGTATACTCAATAAATATTTTCCTAACTAAATTTAAAAAACTAAAAGCTTAAGCCTACAAGGGCAAATATCTGTGAAAAGAGATTAATACTAATTAAATTCCAAAAGTGGATGAACAATTAACAACAAATCTGTCTCAACTGCTAAGAAAACAGAAAAACAGCAGAGAACATTCATAAGCTACACTTGTAGTACCCAATCCTGAGAAAAGAGTCCCGCTGGATGGCCATGAAGGTGCTAGGAGCAAAAGGAAGTCCAAAGGGGAAGAGAGGTTGAAAGCCCACTTGAGAAGCACTCTGGCTTCCTGACCCATTCTTTTCTAGCCTGTGCGGGTAAATGACTGCCCTTTCACTAGCGCAATTTATTCTTTGTAGTCTAACTTAAGAAATGATGTTATGGCACCCTCAGGTTCTTGTCAAGATAGAAAGCAGAGGACCTGAGAAGATTATGGCTGAATTCAGTGGAAACTTGATTTGAGGAAAGGGAGAGGATGACCAAGAAGCTGAGCATCAAGTATCTTTAAGTAGGAAGCACCAAAAAAGGTGAAAATTCTTTTCTTTTTATACCTTCTTAACGAGGGGGCACGAGTGAGCACTTTGCATTGAGTTTAAGGCATGCACAGAGGTTAGGGCAAAGGGCTTAGGAAGAGCAGAATGTGTGAGAGGATTATCTTATGCAAATTTGGGGTACATATCCTGGGTCCATTTTCCTGATATTTCATACTGGAAATTTTTCTTTGGGGCAATTCTCTTTTTCATATTATCTTGCCTATTTTCTTTCCTGTCCTTATAACTCTGTATCATTATGAGACAACAATCAGGGTTGGACTTGATCATCAACAACATTCTTATGGAGAATGTTCACATGCAGAATATTAAGGACTCACATTTCTTCACCTAGACCCAGAATTTTGGAAATCACTGAGCAAAACCGAGTCTTCTTTTGGAAATGGGTGGGAAAATGTTGACATTGACAAATACCAACATTGAGAATTACAGTCCCAGAAAAGGAATTTAAATAAAGATTAATAGGTATAACAATGGCCGTTACCAGTTGCATTTGGAATTACCAGTAGTTTCAAGTTGCATTATTTCACTTAAAAACTTAGCACTCTGCCAGCTCAAATTACACCTGTTTCTTTTTGTCCACAACATATTTTTCTCACTTCTTTTAAACCTTACCATCTTTATTAGACTTTAAATCACTGGTGCATGTAATTACAACAGTCTTATTTTCTTCAAAAGAAAAATACCTATTTTTAAGCATCCCCTAACTATATAAGAATAGTTACTTGAAAACCATTGTTTCCAATGTGGCAGGTGTTAAGTGAAGATTTAATAAATAAATTTTATGTAAATACCACAGAGTAACATTCACAATTAGCATAGATATTCAATTCTTCTGGTTCTTCCTACAGATACTATCAAACATGATTACTAGTGGAAATTTCTATTTTCAGCTATTATTTTCATACTATCAACTGGATTCCACACAAAGTTGATTGGTTTGCTTGGCCCCTCCCCACCAAAAATAATCACCCCTCCTGAATCCACTAGATAGGTAAAATGGGAGAAGCAAAATCCAGTTGTATCAAAACAAGTTGTATCAAATTTTCTAATATATAACTATAGTGAAGAGAAGATGTATCATTAGTTTCTTTTTTTTTCCTTTTTTTTTCTTTTTTTTTTTCTTTTTGGGTCATACCCGGTGATGCACAGGGGTTACTTCTGGCTCATGCACTCAGGGATTAGTTTCATTAGCTAACAAAATTCTAGTGTAATAAAAATCAAATCCTATTTCTACCAATAAATTTCTCACAGTTCTTAAAATCCTGCAAAACCTCCTTCTTATCTTTGGGCACTAGCACCGAACTATGGCTGGCTGAATGCTGCCCAGCAGCCCACGGGCCCTCTGGGAGGCCTCAAAAACAAAACAAAAACACTAACAACAAAACAAACTTCCTTTTTAAGAAACAGTGTGACAATGTAAAAAGCAAAGTCGTATTTCTGCAAAGGGGGAAAATAAACCATCTGATATAATGGAAAATATCCAGAACAATTAGGGAGACTGGGTATTCTGACTAAGTAAATGTTCTGAATTAGTGACAAATAATAGATGGAGAAGTAGGTCGGTGGACTGAGTGTATGCAAAACATGTTTTCAATGCTGGAAGTCAGGGTTTGAACCCTGGCCCCACATTGTCTCGAGTGCCTATGGGAGTAGACCAAATAACACACACACACACACACACACACACACACACACACACACACGATACAAAGAAAAGAAAAAGAAGAAAACAGGAGACTGAGAAATCCCTCAGATGGTCGACCAGATAGACGCCCAGCATTAGCGAGATCCTGAGTTCTAGTCATCGTATTGTATGCCCCCCTCTCCAAGCACCACCAGGTATAGCCCTGATATTATATCAGTGAAAAATTTATCAGTGTAATATTTCATCAGTGAAACAGCCAACTTGAAAGCTATAAATAGATGCTACTGCCAGTTTACAAAGCTTTTTAATATATTTACTAATTGCAATTCAAATGAATATAGTTGTGAAATATACTCAACAAGTATTTTCATTTTTTTCCCCAAGGAATTAAAAGTTGCAAGCAGTGATTCCTAGTCAATCATTTTTCTTCCCTGAAAGCAGGTGAAGGACTCTTCAGGAAGTGGTTCACCTGCCGCAGGTTGAGGGGGCTCACCCCAGTGGAGCTCTTCAAATCCAGATATACCCTAGAAATCCTAGGACACGTTTATGAACAACTAAAGCCCTAGTTTCTCACCCAGAGATTTGGGTTTCATTATTCTCAGGCAGGAATTTGTGTAACTTAGTTTTCTTTGCTTTAAAAACTATCTCCCAGTTGTGGGTGTTGGAACTCTTATGATTGAAACCACCCCATGATCAGCTTTGTAACTTTGTTTCTCATGGTTACACAAAAAACAAACAACCCCCCCCCAAAAAAAATATCTCCCAAGGTGATTCTAATGTGAGTTGATGTTAAAAATCACTAAAATGAAACAAAGTTTTGCATTTAAGCATAAGAATTTTGGGATGGTTCTTGCAAAAGTTTTCATGAAGTAACAAATGTTATGTGTGTGCAAGCAAATATATGTGTGTGTGTGTGTGTCTGTCCGTCTGTCTGGCTTAGTTTGATATT